CCCACTATCTTGGCCAAATCAAAAATGTAAAACGTCGTAAAACAAGCAGCCACACGTCCTATGCTTGCGATGCGCAGTCGATTATTTCGTTAGTCTTTTTTTTTACTCAAGAATCAACAGGTTGCCCAATCGTGTAGCACAAATATTATGAATATGAAGTTTACGAAAGACCAGTTAGCCAGCCATAGCCTCATTTGCATATCTTTAATCAACATTGACGCTACCGTTGACATTTGAATGGGCGATATTACTTCCACGGGGACATGTATTTTCAGCGCTAAAATTCAGGTTTAAAATACTGTGATCTCAAATAAAAAACATTCACACACAAGGAGTATGTTTAGAAATGTACCAAATTCTAATTTTATTGACAATCTGATGTTTATTTTCTGAAATAAGAGACGTCAAAACGAACAATCGTCAGTAATAGTATTTCACGGCAGACTTCTGGCTGATTTACTCAAAAAATAATCAACATGAGAAAAAGACACTTTGCGGGAAGGTAACATACTACGTAATGCACCGAAATAAGTACTTACTATATTTTTAAATCCTTGCGTTATGCAACGTGTCAAAATTAACCGTCACGAAGTCATTGCCGATGAACGCAAGGGCCACCACTTCCGCGGAATTAGGTCATGACCTCACATAGAACGGCTATTGAAAATGCTGGAAGGTGGGGGTGTACAAGCATTATCTCTAAGACAAACACATTATTACATGGATTATTTTATGGATCTTAAACGAAATAATTTTGTTTACACTAATTTATTAGTGTTATGGTAATTTTATATTTAAATACTGTTCATCGGGTAATAAATATAAAGAAAAATGCAGGAATAACAAAGAAGTAAACACCCCACCCCCCCCCCCCCCCGCACAGCAGATACCTACTGTGCGTGTGTGTGTGTGTGTGTGTGTGGATGCCATAAAACAGAACTTTCCATCATACATTCTGCAAAAACAATATAGAAAAATACAGCCAAAAAGTTCAATGTTTCTCAGCTTGAAATATAAAAAAACATGTATACTTTCAATAGCAAGGCTAGTTTAAAATAAAATCCAATATCTGAAATTCATTTTTATGATACGAAATAAGCCGGCATACAATAACACATTCGCGCATAAATGTGATCACGTGATCCGTAATATAACAGGCGTGCTTGATTGATGTTTTATTGCATGTTGGACATTATGAAATTGAATAAATTATAAAAAAGAATTTCATCTTCTTGCATGCCTAAGCATATGTTTGTTACAAACGAAGTAATGGTTTCACTAAATTACCGAATTAAGTATTCAAACATAACTTAGCAACGTGTACCATTAAATATACACGTATAAGCAATGATATACCAAAATGGCAAGCAATTTAAACACAAATTGAGAGCGAGTAGAGAATGGTTAAACTGGTCCAAAAAGATCAAAGTTGCGGCGCTTTGACTTAAAATTGTGTTTTCCATAAAAAATGCTAATGTTAAAATGGTCGAAATCTCAAAGCAAAGCAAAAGTTAATGAGCAAGAAAATATTCAGTCATGAACCATTCTCATTAGTTTTGCTATGTCACCATCATCATCATCATCAGGGTAGATATCTTGATCATCCTGTTCTTCAATCCATACGTGTTGCTCTACTAATTCTTTCAAATCGGGGTCATCTTCTAAGGTATCAATTTCTTCAATTCTGTTGTTTTCCATTTCCAATAATTCCTCCATTAAAGTGTTTCCGCAAGTTCTTGGTCTGAATTTCGCACATTAGCCGTGATCACTGGTGGAGAATCAGTTTCCATTGCTTTTGGACAAATTCCATGTTTCTTGGAACCATTACAAGCTCCTGTATTATGTGGATTGTTACACCCAAGACACAAACAAGCTGGTCCACAAAATCCATGGATTTTGTAGCACTTACAACATCGATTGGTACAGGTTGGTGCTTTCTACACGGGCATCCCTTTGTAAGTAGAGCAACAGTATTGGAAATTTTTTTAATGTTTTCATCACTGTCCCACACAATACAAAGATTACCATCAGTGCCAACCTTGTATCCATGCAAGTGCAAATCTGGAAAATCAACTACAGTTTGGTCAGCTTGTGCCCATAGCTGAGAAACCCAGCAAGATCTTTTCCAGTGTAGCTCAAGCGCATCAAACGACTGACTGAGCTCATCTTCGTACTGGATTCGCGGCCACATACGTTCCCTTATTTCGTTTAGCCATTTCTGATGATTTGCAAGTGCATTACAGCTGCTATCCTCTAATTTCCGATACAGTTGTGCTGGTGTGTTTTCCTCAAAAGCTGTTAAATGCTTCTTAAAATAAACACTACCAACAAGTCTAACAAATGCAAGTAGGCCATCTTTTAATTTATCCTGGCACGTATCAGACAATGTACCTGGATGTGTGGACACACCTGTAATGAATTCACAATACTGGTAAAATATATTGTAAAATGATCCTTTCCCTAACCCAGCAAAGAATGATACAAAATCACATCCTGTGCACATGAATAATGTTTGCATGATTTTACCAATCATGTCAAGTCGTGTGTGCTGCAAGTCAGGATCAAGATTTAGGGCTGATTTTAATTCAGACATGCTAATATATTTTAGATTGGTAGGATCATTATCCAATTGAACATATATCTCTTTTTGTGAGTGTTTATACAATAGGGGCAGTAACGCGTGATACGTGTCTGTATCAGGTGAAAATATCACTCCTTGATTATACTGTGAACTCAATGCATGTAAAATACACCGACTATCTGCTTCCTCGTGATTACTTTGAGCAATCCATTCATTTGTAATACCTGTAGCATCAACACACATAGAACTGTCCTTTTTATTTCCATCAAACCCACCAGCTGTTATAAAACGTTGGTCGCCTTGTAATAATGGGGCCACCAATTTCAGACACTCCTCAGATAGGAAATTCACTAATTTTCATTTATTGGGACGGCAACCAATAAACTTTCTCCAATTAGTGGGCACTGGGGTTTCTCTCTGAACTAAATCAATTTCCACGTCTGTATTAACATTCTTGTCCCGTCTTTGTCTTTCAATGTCCTTAGGACTGACACCCAAATGCTGAGGATCGTCAAATATTAAATGGACTTCAAAACAAAACCTATTGTAATGGGGAACAATCCATCTCCGAACAAAAAACTCAGCATAATGGGCAAAGGTTCGATGTGAAGCAAGAGGGGCCTTATTGATTAAAAACATTCCATCATATATCATAAACTTTGCTCTCCATTCAGGGGTAACTCTCTTTCATAATATCACTGTATCTGGTCTTAAGAATTTTGTGTATTGCTCTTTGACTTTTATATGGCAACCATCAGATAATGAAATTGCCCTGGGAAAAGTACAAACTGTTCAAGTGTCTTTACTGGTCGCCTGTTTTTTTGAATGTGCTATCTGTTTTTTAAGCAGGCAGTGACCATTCTATGGTCATTATCTCCTTTTTTGACTTGACTATTTGTTTTACTTTACCGGAAAAGGTTTTCAAATGGCGTTTACGAACTGGAGCTCCAGTACTTGGCTGAAACATGATACGAACTCTGACATGTGCAAGAAAATCCTGTTTGCCTATTTCCCGACAAGACAATAAATCTTGCTGGACTAATTTCTCTGCAACTTCTCCAGTGAATACATTGAGTACACCCCTATATAAAAATAAACTCCAGACAAAAAAGATGAGTGTAATATAAACTTCTGTAATCCTCAATAATTTATAATATAACAAAACAACATCAGTAGTGGCACACTTGGTATTCTGCAAGATAAAATAAAAAAAAATATGAATAAATAATTTGTTCACACATTCCACAATTTGAAACGAAAAAAACAGAAATTGGGAAGGATCATTGTAGCCCATAGCAACCAGTTTACGGTATTTATCAATAATCTCCTTCAAATCCAATACTGTAGAATTTGTGTGGTAATTACCACCCTTTTAACTATTCTATGTAATGTGTATGTACATTTTAATATAATATTGGGAGTATAACAATTTTATGTGAGGTGATGAGATGTTAAATATCAAACTTTGTATTTTTTATCAACTGGAATTTTAATATTTGTACTTATTTGTAAAAATATGGAAATTCATTTTGTAGTTACTAAGGTATAAATATTGAAGCCCCTCCCCATATATGTATACCTGAACTAGAACGGCTTGCTACTTTGGGGCATGTCAATTTTTATTACATAAAATCACTAGTTGCTATAGAAAGTGTACTTATGAATATATACAACACCTAAAAAACAAACTTAACACGTAAGTTAACCGCACCGTCCCAGGCCCCACATTGACCTGACTAAAGTTGACCTCAATTGACCTAATTTATATAATGGCGCCAACGCGGTATAGTGGGAGAAATTGCTCGTTTTCAGAAAATCGCCAAATATTCTACAGAAATTTTGAAAACTTGAAACTTCAGGGAATAATTGCCTATACCCTTTGCTTAGTCCCCATATATTTGTTATAAATCAAAATTCTTGCGTTATGGTAGGTGTCACTTTTAAAGTTGGGGCGAAATCGTGAGCGTATTTCACCACAGCGGTTTCTATTTTCTAATTTACGAAAATATTTCATTGAAACCACTCTAAAAAATTACATATTCGGCAAGGATGAGATACTAACCTGTCGTGTAGCAAAATCAGGAAGCTGCGTTGGCCGGTTTTGCTTAAATCGCGGTTTCAATATGACCACAAGTCACAGCGGAAATTTGCCGGGAACAGAGTGATACAAATGTACTGGTCTGGAATTTCGAATTAGAATACTGTATAAATTATGTTAATAAGGCTTTGGCTGACTAACTGATTTATGCCGATATCGAGAGGCTGTAGAATGGACGTAAGACCTCCGGGAATTACAGCCACATCGATATTCCGCTCCCGGAGTGCAGCCTTCACATTGTCCGTGAGGTGAACTGTGCAGGAATCCCAAACCAATAACCTTCTGCTGTCGTCTTCCCGGTGAGGAAACGTTCGCCTGATATAATCTAAACATCCTACATGTAAACAAAATAAAAATAACGAAACTATCAAAAGAAAGCAAACATGTGATCGTGAAAAGCATTACACACATGCGCGTTGAACCTTTATGTATGACGTTGCAAAATTGTTAACAATAATGAATATTCATGTACTGGTTTCATGGCACCCCTTTTATATATTTCGTGCGTTTATAGAAATGTGAACATTGAAACCGTCTTGATTAAAATATTTCCCTGACTGGCCCAAAGGCAGACGACACCATAAATCAAATCATGGAGGTAAAAACGATAAAATAGTATTTACCTGGTTCGTCGATATAGCCTTTCTGGTGTACCCTGACTTGAACTGCATTTGTTGATAAATGGCTCTGGTCACGTTTTCCCTTAAAAATGATAACTGGCTTCAACTTTGTCCCATCGGCAGCAGCTGTGAGCACCAC